TTTTTTTAAAAAAAATTAATAAAATATATTCTGAAACATAAATTTATAATTTAAGATATAAAATTTTATTTTTTAAACTTATATGTGTATTGTAAGAATTTGAATATATCCAAACTCATTTCATTATTTTTGAAGAATATCTTCAAACCTGATTTATTATTAAATGTATGTAAACAATATAGATTGTTGAATAGGTTTTTTTATTCAATACAAAAACCTTAATATTCAATCAAAATCAATAACTGTTTTTTTAATAAATCTGAAGTGAATACAAGATATTATATGTTCAAAGACTCTCGATCATTTGACAATGAACGCTCATATCCCTACACGAATAGTACTTGAATCCGAAACATTAAAAAATAACAACAATACTTTAATCACTAAAATCGCTTAACTTTTACCATCAATAACTGTTTTTTAATACTTTAAATCCATAACTGTTATCCTAAAATTAAGAAAGCATCAAACAGATGCAAATATATATATATATATATATATATATATCATTGTTTGGACGATGGACAATGAGATAATTTAATTATTAAGAAAATTTATAATACTAATATGTACATGTATTGATACGTCATTTCAAGTAGAGATGAATGTTAGATTGAATCGACGGCAAATATTTTGAGCTAGTTGAGTTAGTGGGTTATAATTTATCGTCCTATCTCAATTTAATTTTCTTTTTAAATTGAATCTAGTGAAATAAAATTCGAGTTGAATTAAGTTGAATAGATTTATTCAAATCAAATTAAAACTTTAAAATATGATTAAATTCTAAGTTTACATAGTATAAGTATATATTTCAAAATTATTTTTAAAAAAAGTTTTTTTTAAGTATAATAAACTTGATTTGATAACTCATTTTTTTAAAGTTCTAAAATTTATTATTTTCAAAAAAGTTTAAAATTTTTATGGAATTTTTTTTATAGAATATATATATTTTATAATTTTTTAAGAATTTAGATTTTTTATATATGTAAATTTTCAGAACGGAGAAGGACCAAAGGAATATTACACCAAATTATTATTCAGCTTATTTGGTATTTGATTTTTAAAATTCAACCCGACTTGAATTTAAAAAATCGATTCAATTATTCTAAAATTTTAATTTTTTATATTTTATGAATCTAATTTTATTTACCTCTGATTTTTTTTTTGAATAATTTGGTGTAAGTATAATGTAGTATTTGTTCAAAGATAAATATAATTCTCAATCTTTTAATATTGAACTTTTAATCTTTTGACATTGAAACTCGTACCCTAGCATTCATGGTGCTTGAACCCGAAACTTTAAGAAATAACTATAATTTTTTTACCAACCGAAGTCGGTCCCTGTTATTCACCTCTAAATTTTAAATGGATGATTTTTTTTAATGTTTTTTCATATATAAAAGTTTGAAGAATATAAAAGTGTTTAAACTTTCCGTGGTTTTTTTTCTTCCTTTGATCCATAGTTTTTCTTTTCTCCTTTCGTCTTTAGTGTGGAAAAAACTTACCCAAATTCAATTTTTTTCTTTGATCCATAGTTTTCCTTTTCTCCTTTCGTCTTTAGTGTGGAAAACAACTTACCCAAATTCAATTTTTTCCTTGAAAATAAGTTATAACTTATTAGATACGAGATTTGCTTAATCATAAGATTATCTGTTTTTTTCTTTACTAAAAATCACTAATTTTATTCAAAATAAACCACAATAAAATTTACAATCATAATCATAAATTAAACACATAATTAGGAAAATTTCTTATAATCATTGAAACAAAACTAACAACTTAAGATCACATATGACCATATAAAGAAAGATTAAAACTTAACTAAGAAAAATAAAAAAAAGATAAATACAAACAGAAGTGATCGCATCGAGCAAAAACCATAAAAGGAGATCAAGCTACTGAAAGACTACCGACAAACTGCAAATCAGACTCGAGCAACATGAAAAACTATCCACAAACTCATAACGGGTATCTAAATTCAATCTGAGGGTCTAAAGCATGAAAAATCAACAATATAACAGATAAGCGCCATTTTGATTAGTCGTGACGATGTCAAATCAACCCTTAAAAAATATAAGTAAAAATAACGGTCAAATAACCGAAAACGTGTCAAAATGCAGATGAAAACGTGTCATACATGTAGACTTATTGAAATAAAATAAAGAAAATAAAGATATAATATAAGAAAATAAAAAGACAATAAAAATACGAACGGTCAACAACCAACATTAAAATTGGTGTTGTCTCCGATTAACAAAGATAAAAAGAAAAAGAAATGAACAACTTACATGAGAGAAAACTAAGAGAGATGTGGGAATTTTTATTTTTAACAATAGTAATTGAATTTTATTAATAAAAATAATAAAAGTAATCAGAATTACAATGCAGAGAAAAAAATAGGGACAATAGTCACAAAAAAACTCATATATAAAACAAAAATATTAAATAAAAAACGAAAACTTCTCTTGAGAATGACGTCTAGCATAAAAAAATCTAGTAACCTTCATAAAAATTTATTTTTTGTCTCAAACGAGACACTTTACAAAGTGATAAATGAGTTGTAAGCAAACCAAATTATCTAACAGACTGCTTCGCTACACAATTCTGATTATATTAGCAAACAACCTTTTATCAAAGAGGTGACTGACTATACGTGAAAATCGACAAACCAATCAGAAAACAAATATCATGAGAGTCTTTGTGCGAACACTAACACGACTGCAAAGGTATGAAAAAAACGTGCCAAAAGCCATAAGGAATATGCCACAACAACAGAGAAAAATTGTGTCACAATAACAGAGGAAAGCGTGTCACAAGGATATAAATTCTTATTCAAAATAAAAAAAATAAAAAAAATCAAAGCACATGATATGAAAAAAAATAAGAGAAATAATAATTACCGACAGTCGACGACCAATATAAAAATCGGCATCGCCACAGTCTAAACAAAAATCAAAAGAGAAGAAAAAGGTGAATAAAAAATATGAAGGGAAAATCTAGGTTATGTTGTAGTCAAACAAGAGTTATGTCTGCAATTACATCATATTTGCAATAGATTTTGTACCAACTCAGTCCTCATTACTCACAACAAAATCCATGCCTTACCTTTTTGACAAAAAAAAGAAAAATTCACAAAACCACTTGGAAAAGTTTTATCAACTTGACATCATTATTTAGTGGGTCGAAGACTCATTAATAACTTTAAGTCTTAACAAATATCAAGATTTGGATTTCGTCAACAATATTATATATCTCTTGATGTTTTTGAATTAGTATTTTTTTTAAAAATATTAACAAATTGGATTAGTGGGATAGTTAAGGCCTAACCCACTATGGCTTAAAAAACCTGGGAGATCATTGGATCTGATGCCTTATTCTGACTAGCCATCGTGGAGGTGGGAGGTGTAAATTAAGATTCTTGACTTACATGTAATATATATGAATGTTTGAAAGATGGAGGAATATGTTCAGCTTTGAATCCGTGGTCTTTTGAGGAGCCACATATACGAATTATTTAGGGCCAGGATGCACTCAAATTGTTTGATGGATATCACATTCTTCATTGCCATTGCTCTTTTTTTTTGACTGAGAAAACATTTGGGATTCACCAATAGAGTTGGGTCCTACATTTGGATTTGCTTCACCTCAAATATCCATTAAAAATTCCCACTTCACTCTCTCCATATCTGTATTCACCCATTAATATTCTTATATATATTTAAAAAAACCAGATTTGGAGCAGATGTTTTGAGTTCATATTCCTTCTTACTCTCAAGATTTGATTCCAGACAGATTACTTTCTTTTCTTTTTGTTTAAAGTTTAAGTTTCAGACAACTAAAGCAAGTTGCATGGTTTGTATTGGCAGCCCATGCAGAGCAATCATAATATTAATACAAGTAGAAGAATCAGTCCTCAAGTATGAAAATGGGTTGGTGCTGAACAACTCAATCGCAGTTCCATAGCATATGCTTTGAACCATTGCTTTCACCACATTTCACTTTTATATCCATCGTTCCATTTAAACAAATTCCATGTTATTATTTATTATTATTTCTTAATTTTTTTCTTTTAAAGATTGAATTGTCTGTTATCCATGGCGAATTTAAAAATATTTTTTAAAGTGGACACAAATATTAACAATATAAAAATTTTATATATAGGTAGGTATAAATAAAATTTTAACATGGACACAACTGGCAAAACTTTCGAGATAATGTTCTGAAAGAAATTAATTCATGAGCTAATGCACTCCCAAGATTAATTTCTCAAATAAGGTGAAATCCACAGTGTTGGCCGTAGGTCGCCATGCACTCCGGGCGACCTTGTAGGTCGCCATGCACTCCGGGCGACCTACCCTTGCTCAAACAGAGAGAATGAACGTGTTGCATGGCACATGCACGTCCCAACACATAGGTCGCCATGCTCTCCGGGCGACCTTGTAGGTCGCCATGCACTCCGGGCGACCTACCCTCGCTCGGCTTCCCTCGGATTCCCTCGCATAGCTCGCTCGGTTGCCCTCGGATACCCTCGCATAGCTCGCTCGGTTGCCCTCGGATGCCCTCGCATAGCTCGTTCGGATGGCCTCGGATGCTCTCGGATGGCCTCGGTCGAATGGCCTCGGATGCCCAGCGTGTTGGGACGTGCATGGCACATGCAATCTCTTGTAGCTCGCCGGGAAGACATGACGACCTAATAGGTCGCCCGGAAGGCATGGCGACCTACGGCCAACACTGTGGATTTCACCTTATTTGAGCAATTAATCTTGGAAGTGCTTTATCTCGTGAATTAATTTTTTACAGAACATTATCTCGAAAGTTTTGCCGACACAACCATTAGAATATATTACTAACAGAAGAAAATTTAAAATCCAATGCCCACCTTCAATCTCATGTTGATCCGCCAGTGCTTTTAGTTGACGTTTATTTGATCTTGTTGATATAACTTTGATTTGAACTGTCACATTGATAAATGCGTGCAATCAGATCAGATGGCTTGATTAATAAATACTGTCCTTGTCCATAAACATATGATTAATTTAAGCACAACGCGAGAGAACATTAATTTCTAGCAGCTTAAGTCATCTCCAACTCGATGCTCAAGCTGTAGCAGCACCTGCAACAATGGTGAAATAGTTAAACAGCTAAAAACAATATCAACAATTGCTCGATACTACACTCATATTATTTACTTGATCAAGAATGTTGGCGTTCATGATTAATGTTAAAGATGGTTAAAAGATAGTGGGGATTCGTCCCTACCAATCTTAAATATCAGCAGACATTCGCAACCCTACGAGGGGGTTACCATGGGCCAAATTTGGATTTAACTCGGTGTTTATATCGGTTAATTTCTCTCTTGTCCATGCAAACTTGACCTAACCATGCAGAGACATGGAGTACGTACAACATGAACCAGTTGCAAATCCTCACATGTACATATAATACAAGAAGAATAAATTGAAAGGCTGAATAGAGAAGCGTTTTCTGTGGTTCAAAAGTTGAAATAACATTGTAAATACACCTGGAGATTGTTGAAGCAGGTCAACTGATTCACTGGCTTCATGTTCCTTCTTGCTACTTTGCTTGTTTAATTTATTACCCTTGTCTTCAAGCTCTGGATGGATCTTCCGTTTCAGCATTCTCCTCATCACCTAATAATCATATTAAACTCAAACCTTGGTTAGAATGAAATTAATCTATAAATGGGTGTGTGATTATTATGAAAAATATTACTCACTTGGTTTAGCATTTTGATGGTACTTGAATCCTCTCCAACTTGAGGAATGAGTTTCTTGGGAAAAGAGAGGTTCTGTTTGGTACGAACTGATCCCTTTCTATCCGTTTCAAGAGTGACCGGCTCTTTTTTCATGCCGGAATCAGAGTCCACAGAGAATAGGTCGGCCAGTGTTCTTCTTCTTCTTCTCAACTTTCCAGAATGTCTCTCAATGGCATCCAAATCAGTCCTAATTTCATCATCAACAAGACACCTCGGCAGCCCCATGAACCTTTATCCTCACATGCATCCTCGAAACCGTGGTAGAAAGAGCTGAACATCAGTGGATTTTGATGGAAATATGTACTGTGAGAGTTGGTTTGGAGGGTTAGAAGCAGTTAGGTGTTTGTTTATTTGTGTAAATAAATAGTTTGTATTTGTTCATTATTTCAATATAGCAGTAGTAAATATATATTCAGCATTTCCTTTTGTTCTCCACGCTACTGCTTCTGTTTTTCATACTAACTGAAGTTTCTTTGAACCACCACCGGTTAATCTTTGATCGTTGACAGATCCTCTTCTTCATTACCATCACTGTAATTGTTGTCGTCATTGCAATTACCGTTATCAGAGAATTGTTCTTCCTCCTCTTGTTCGTCGTCATCACTTTCCGCGGCTAAGCAGTCTTTTTCTTTGCTCGAGGATGGTTTCAAAGGATCAAACCCAAAGGTGCCAATTATTATAATTCCATCGAGCACGTCAACCAGAGCTATCTGCTCGAGCAAAGCTTTTGTATTTGTGTCGATCGCAATGCCATCAGTCTTCTTAACACTTTGAGACAACCTATCTGCGCAAAATATGATAGTTTTCTCATGAGCAAACACTGTTGTTCTACAGAGAATGTGCAATGATATATGTGTATGTGTACAAGAAATTGAACCATTGAGGATGGTATTATTAGAACTAAGTAGCTAAGGTTAGTTAAGAGAGCTGTTAGAGTTGTTAGCAGTCAGTTGAGGTAGTTACAAAGCTTATAGACTTGTGCTAAGCTTCTGTTAGCTGCTATAAAGCAGTGTACTCGGTTACTTGAATTAATGAGAAAGTATTCAATGTTTGTTGAAACTTAAAGCTTAACCCATATTCCTAATATGGTATTATTCGCCAATTTTCCTGGGAAAATATTCGTGTTTCTCGCTGTGTAGGGGATCTCCTCTGCTGAAAACTGGTTCTTACTGCTTGTCATGTTCAATAGTGGTGAGTCGTCTCCATTCATGGACTTCTCCGCAATAAGTGCTAAGGCGTTCTCCAACAAGAAGGTCAACGTGGTTCTTGATGAGACAAATTTCCTCATCTGGAAGCAACAAGTTCTGTTAACGGTGCGCAACCATCGCCTTGAGCGGTTCTTGATGGGAACAGTGAGGTCTCCGCCTGAAACCGTGGTCAACGATGATGGTGAGGTTGTGCCAAATGAGTTGTATGAGGATTTTGTGGCACAAGACAGTGCCCTTGTATCGTGGTTACTCTCCACGATTAGCCCTCAGCTTCTTCCACAGTTTGTGGATGCAGAAACGGCTGTAGTGGTCTGGAACACATCCCTCCAATTCTTTGGAAATAGGTCCACAACCGGTGTTATCAGCTTACACTGTAAGTTACAATATCTCAAGAAAGGAGATGATTTGATGAGAGTGTATATCACGCGTGTAAAAGAGGTGTGTGATGCCCTGCAGTCGTGTGGGAGTATAGTCTCTCAAGCTGAACACATTGCCAGCATACTGAAAGGCCTTCCTCGTGAGTACCAACCTTTTGTGGCGGTTATAACCACCACACGAGAATCCTTATCCCTTGATGCTGTGTACACTATGTTGTTGGATGCAGAAACCCAGCTAGCTGGGTTTGGTGATCAATCTGAGATATTCCCAATGAGTGAAAATATTGCTCAAGGGATAAGTTTTAACAAATCGTCCATCTCTAGCTATTATTATGATCATAAGTCCTCTCGGCCATCGGTCAGTTCTGGTGGATAGGTTGGTGGAAGAGGCCGAGGTCGTGGTCAACACATGCAGTGTCAACTATGCGGTAAAAATGGCCATCTTGTAGACAGTTGTTGGCATCGTTTTAACCAAGATTTTCCTGGGGTCACAGCTGGCAGTAAGGGTTATTCTAAGGATCAATCTAGAAATATCTATTATTCCATGTGCGAAACCAAGATTACTGAATGCGAGTGCTGCAATGCTAGAATCAAAGTATCGTATGTTGATTCACACCCCCAAGTACTTATCTCAACAGCAGCCCGTGAGCAATGGGTGGTAGACTCGGGTGCCACACACAATGTCACACCAGATGGAGCAGTTCTTAGTCATAAAGATGACTATAACAACCCAGGTAAGTTGATAGTTGGTGATGGAGTAGCGTTGGACATTAAGGCAGTTAGTAGTTTTACTCTTGTTCATCTTCTCGAGCCTTATTACTATTTGCTACATGTGCCCAAGATAACAAAGAATCTCTTGTCTGTTTCAAAGCTTGCTAGGGATAATAATTCCTTCTTTGAATTTCATGCACGTGAGTGTAGCGTTCGTGATGAAGAGTCTTGTGATGTCCTACTTCTTGGGAAAGAAGAAGATGACTTGTATTCGTTTGTAGTTGATCCTCAAGTAACAACCCTTGTTGCTATAGAATCAAGTGCCATGGAAGCATCCTTTGATTCCTATGAGCTTTGGAACAGGCGGTTGGGGCATCCTTCACATGAGAGTTTAGTTAAGATTTGTAAAGATTTGAATGTAAATATCTCAAATGAAATGAATAAAGTGTGTGTTGCTCGCCACATGGGAAAGAGCCATAAGTTGCCTTTTCATGATTCGAAAACAGTGTATGATACCCTCTTTTAACTTGTGTTTACAGACCTATGGGGACATGTACCAGTCACTTAAAATGGCTTCAAATATTATGTTAATTTTGTTGATGCCTATACTAGGCATTCTTGGCTGTAGTTATTGAAGGACAAGGCACAAGCCATCACTGTGTTTGGGTTGTTTCAGCAATTGGTCAAGAATCAATTTGGTTTGTCTATTAAGGCAGTCCAAAGTGACTGGGAGGGGAATATAGGCACTTGTCGAGTTATTTTCTCAAAGAAGGCATCCTGCATCGAGTAACATGTCCACACACATCATAACAAAATGGTGTGGTCGAACGCAAACATCGACACATTATTGAGCTTGCACTTGTGCTTCTTGCTCAAGTATCCATGCCAATCTGTTTTTGGTCATATGCAGTTGTCACTGCAGTGCATTTGATTAACAGGTTGCCCATAAAGTTGTTGCAAGGGATGTCACCGTTTGAGAAGGTTTTTTATAATAAACCAGACTATGGAGCATTGAAAGTGTTTGGCTGCTAGTGCTTCCCACACTTGCGGCCGTTCTTAAAACACAAGCTCGATTTTCGATCCCAACCATGTGTTTTTTTGGATATAGCCCCAATCACAAAGGATTTTAGTGCCTTGCACCTAATGGTCGAATATATATGTCACGTCATGTGAAATTTAATGAGTTAAACTTTTCTTTTGCAGGCACCACTTACACTGGGTCCTCGTCTCGCAAAACCAGCTAGTAATCTCAGTCTCTAGAAGTGATATCAGATGTAGGAAAGTTTAGTCGTCATGGTGATTCTGCTCTATTGAGTGTGAGACAGAGATCTAGTAGTGAAAACTTGTCCCTAATGAAAGCTGACTCAGCAGCTGAGCATGAGGAAGTGTCAAGGACATCAAGGTCTAGCTCAGATGACAACAGTGCTGACTCTGCTGCTCAGTCCCCCAGTCCTATTCACAATGTCTCTAATGATGTTAATGGTAGTACATCAGTGCCTGTTCAAGAGTTGCGTACAGATGGTGAGCATACTACATCAGTGCATATTCAAGAGTTGCATACCGATGGTGAACTTGTTGGAAACAGGCACTCAATGCTCACACGCAGCAAGTGTGGTGTCTTTAAGCCAAAGACGTATACCAGTTTTTTTGATGATTCAGTCCCAACAATTGTTCGTGCTGAGTTACAATCTGCTAGTTGGAAAGCAGACATTCATGCAGAACTGGATGCGTTACGAGAAAACAAGACTTGGTCTCTTGTTCCCTTGCCCAAAGGGCGTGATATTGTTGGATGCAAGTGGCTCTTTAAGATAAAAAAAAAAGAATCCAGATGGGTCAGTTCAAAGGTATAAAGCGAGGTTGGTTGCCAAGGGGTGCTTTCAGGTTCCTGGATACGATTTTAAAGACACATTCAGCCCAGTTGTGAAATTTGCCACTCTGAATGTAGTGCTTTCACTTGTTGTCACTAAGAATTGGACTCTGCATCAAGTCGATGTGAACAATGCATTTCTGAATGGAGAGTTGTCTGAAGAAGTGCTTATGCACCAGCCTATAGGATTCGAAGAGTTTGCTGCTGATAGATCGCCTCTTGTTTGCAAGCTAGATAAAGCCTTGTATGGGCTTCGACAGACACCCATAAATTGGCATGATAAACTCAAGGTTAGCCTTCAGTAAATGGGGTTTGTTGAGTCAGTATCAGATGTCTCATTTTTTGTGAGGTGTGTGAACAGCAATTACACGTTTGTATTGGTCTATGTGGATGATATAATCATCACTGGCGAGTCTAAGGAAGATGTAGAAAGGGTGGTTCAACTCATGCAAAGAGATTTCTCACTTAAAGACTTAGGTGAGTTAAACTTCTTCCTTGGAATTGAGGTTAAAAGAAGTAGTGGTAAACTGGTGCTTTCACATAAGGAGTACATTCTTGAACTACTGGAAAGGGCATATATGTTTATTGCTAATTCTGCTGCTACACCAATGATTGGGTCATCGAGATCGTTTTATGAAGTAGGACAGGTACTCACTGATGCTCGTGAGTATAGAAGTCTGGTTGGTTCACTGTTGTACGTGTGTCACACCCGTCCTGATATATCGTTTAGTGTGAACAAAGCTGCTCAACACATGCATGCACCGTGTGAGTTTCATATGGCAGCAGTTAGGCGTATACTCAGGTATTTGACTGGTACCTTAGAGTATGGTCTCACGTTGTGGCTAATGACACAGGACTGAAGGTCGTTGCCTTTGCTGATGCTGACTGGTGTGGAGTTCGAAGAAACAAAAGACAGTCTCAAGGTCGACCATGGAAGCATAATACCGTAGTGTTGCAGACACAGCTACAGAAGTGACCTGGATCAACGCGTTGCTAGTCAGCCTGGGTGTGAAGCAACGTGAAGAACCAGTCATCTGGTGTGACAACACGAGTTCCATCACAATGAGCATAAACCCGATTTACCATGCTCAGTCTAAGCACGTCGACATGGATGTCCACTTCATTAGAGAAAAGGTTACTGCCGAAGCCTTGCGTGCCAGCTATGTCCTAGCAAACTTTCAGGTGGCAGATGGTCTCACCAAACCGCTAACCAAAACTGCGTTCGAAGTGTTCAGGGCTAAGATGTGTGTGTTACCTTGTTGAATGAGGAGGAGAAAGTAGAGGGAATATTAGAACTAAGTAGCTAAGGTTAGTTAAGAGAGCTGTTAGAGCTGTTAGCAGTCAGTTGAGGTAGTTACAAAGCTTCTAGACTTGTGCTAAACTTCTGTTAGATGCTATAAAGCAGTGTACTCGGTTACTGGAATTAATAAGAAAATATTCAATGTTTGTTGAAACTTAAAGCTTAACCCAGATTCCTAATAGGTATGATTGAATCTCCTCTGCACCCAGTTGAATATCTATTGAATAAAGTTACCATCAAACACAAAAATGTAGAGAGGAAATCATTAGAAGGAAAAAAAATCGAAGTTTTAGTTTAACAAGCTTATGGGTATTGTAATTACCCTCATTCTGCTTTTCAGTCAAGCTTTAGTTTGGTGAGGAAAATGGATGCGATGGGCAAAGCGTAGTGAGTGGGGGACTTGCTGGGAATGTTTATGACTTAGAGGAAGTACTTGGCTCGTGCTTTGGATTCTTGTAGATCAAACGGCACAATTGTTTGCTTTATTATTACAGGTCGCCATAGCTAGCTTTGAGAGTCAACGAGGACCAGAAGTTCTCGAGAGCTCGCACTGTCAAAACGTAATATATCTGTTGTCTAAAAGTACACGAAGAACCACTTCTAAAATTTGATCAGAGCTAGTTCCTCTGCGGCAAAATCTTGTGGATCAAATTAAATAAGCATCCCATTGACTCATTTTTGCTTTGAGATTTTACTCGGATCCCACATATTCCACCAATTTGGAGCACATTGTGGGGTTGTTTTCTGTTCTATTTGGGACATATTAGACCTCTCCCTGTGCACATATCCCATTAATTGTTAGTTCTCATTAATTTTATAATCAAGAAAGGTATATTATTCATAGTATACCTATTAGACCACTCCTTGTATAATAATATTCAAAGTAAAATTAGGAATTCGAATATTGAAATTATGAATAAAGTAAATTAGATTAAAAGAATTATTCCTATAATTAATTTCTACATTATTTGATCTGATTTAGTCTATTAACTTATTAAAAAATAATTTTAATTCTTTAATGGCAAACAATCCTTTATATTAATTCTTTAACATTAGGGCAAACCCGAGCTAAAAGAAAATAACATTAGGGCAAACCCAAATAGATGATTTATTCTTGAGTTGAAAGGAGTTACGTTTTCAAGTTTCAACCACAGAAAGATTTATAATATCTTATCGTTCTCCTTCAAATCCCAAGCTTAATTCCCAGGAGCACTATTCGTCCCTCCATGGCCCCTCTATCAAGCTCTGTTTCGACCCTCAAACCCACCAACCTCAACTCAACACCTCGCGAATTTCACCACTTCAAAACACCCAACAGACCGCGCCAGCTTCCTCCGCCGGCGTCACCCCACTGTTCCCTTTCATTCTCCACCACCAAAACAACCACCTTCTCCGCCCTTTTCACTCACAAAAACCTCACTTCTTTAGCCAGCCAGCCTCTCACTTCGTCCCCCCACATCCACCGAAAACCGGCCACCGGCTACGCCGCAGCTCTTCTTGACATAGCCCAACGCAACGGTTCACTTGACTCGGTCCAACAAGACGTGCAAAAGTTCTCGAAACTATTTCGAAACAGTCAAATTCAAGCCTTGATAAATGACCCTTTTCTGGGTTATAAAGAGAAGGGAAAAGCGGTGAAGGAACTGGCCAGAAAAGGGAAGTTCAACAAGCACCTGGTTAACTTGTTGAAGATGCTGATCGAGAAGAACAAGTTGGAGATGGTGAGTGAAGTGTTGGATGATTTCGAGAGGATTTATGATGAGTTGATCGACACTAAACTGGTTTGGATTTCATCGGAGAAGATGATTGGTGAAAACAGATTGTTTGAAATTGCTAAAAGGATCCAGGAACTTAGTGGGGCTGTTAAAGTCAAGATCAAGAACTTGGTTGCGGATAAGCTACCAAAAACATCAAACTCTGGCTTGGTGTATGATTGATTAACATGCATTAGCATTGTAAATGTAAAGTTTACATTATGGACAGAGAATGTATATGGATTAATTTAAATGTAAAGTTGTGTGTATCAATAATTAAAATATATTTTCGGACATAACTCACAAACTAATGCACTTTTGTAAAATGGTGCGTCTTATTTTCTTCTATCAGTATCCAATGTAAGTTTAATCATCCTTCATATGTATGACTTACACAATGCATGAGTGAATTTTGTATAATGGTGATAAATAGCATAATATAATCAATGCCAATCAAATTTGATTAAATCCGTTAAATTAATAGATCAAAGGGTAAAGTACATTCTACCTCACTCAATTATTAGTTTAGTTACAAATTTTCATTTGTTTTCTATTATAATTTAGTCATCTAATTAAAATATTATTATAAATAGGTCATTTCGCTTTTGGAATTGAAACAAACGCTTAATGTGGCCTGATAAAATAATATTTTTAATCTTAAAATTTATATATTCTATCAATTTGATCTTAATTCATAATAATTTAATAAATATAATCATTCATATATATATATATATATATAAATTAATCAGTTTAGTTATTTTTATGATATTGTCAAACCAAGTGAGTCCATTAAATTAAAACAATAAATGAATAACTACATTATATCATAAAGCAATAACAAATTTCTATTAAAATATTATATTATGACAGTAATATGTAACATTATTATAAATTAAGATTAAATTGATATAATTTTAAAATATAAATATTTAAATTTATTTAATTACTTTAAATTAAGATTAAATTAATATAAATATATAAATTTAGAGACAAATTATTATTAGAACATATCTTACATTCAGATGGGCCAAATAATTTTTGTATTGCCAATGGGCTTTTTACTCGTTGGGTTAAAAACCGGTCTTCTAGTAGGCCTTTCTGGGCTCATCAAAACTCGATTAAGCTATGCCTCTAACCATCTAACGGTTAGTATTGTGTCATGCTGAATGGTGTGATAATCTAACGGCTAAAAAGGACCATACCAGCATCATCTCCAAATTTACTCTTTTAGGGCTTTGCTTCGCATTATATATGGATTTACGCTGTTATTTCCATTCTTTATCTTTGTTTAGGGTTTTCGGTTATCGTTTAAGCGCTTCTATTGCTTCTTCGCAAGGTATTCTCCAGAATTATATTTTTTGGTTACCTAAAAAAGGAAGGAAAACGCGACCTATCAACAGTGGTAATCTCCTTCTTTTTTACTATGCTGCAGGTTTCTTTTAAGGATAAAGGTGCAATTCTTTCGGTGGAAGAATGAGGCCTGTATTTGTGGGGAACTTCGAGTACGAGACTCGGCAGTCGGAGTTGGAACGTTTGTTTTCTAAGTATGGAAGGATCGAACGGGTTGACATGAAATCTGGTAATATATGGAAACAATGAAGTATCTCATTTTGGGGTTGCAGTTTACTGTTCAATTAGCTAAATTAATTCGGTATTGCTTTTGCTTTAGACAAGTCTGTCTGAATCCTAAATGATTTGTTTGGGGTGCTTCGTCCCCTTTTATAGTTTGTTGATGGTTAGCTGTTCATAACCCATTTGCTAAATTGTTTCTTATGTTGATAGTGGTTGAGTTTTTCATGAAATTAAGTTCAACTCGTTTAATTCTTTACCTTTTGACTGATAGCTGAGGTCTAGTTGCCTTGTCTCACGTATTTTTCTTTAATAACGTCTTAATTGACACCGGTGAAGAGCCTTGATTTGTTGAATGGTACATGTGGGTAATTTTGGGGTTGAATGTCTGATTTCAGTTATGCAGCAAATAGACGAGGTCTGTTAATCCGATCACAGTTTCCAGGAAGAAATTAGAATCACACCCCTAGGCTTTCAATTTTCTTAGAGTAAACCTCCATATTAAGTGTTTGTTTTGACGCAGGAACTTCTTCTAAGGGCCACTCACAGATGGCATCATCCTTCATTTTCTTCTCTCCATCATGTTACTCACCCTCCTCACTGGCTGGTGGGGATCCATCAAATTATCATGTCATACCTACTTCCACTGATTATAGAAGATCACTGAATTCTGTCATGCCATGCCTTCTATTTCTGAACTCCCGCTATCTGAATGGCCCAGCATGCTTTGCAATGATGTATCAGACCTGAAAACTTGGATTTTAACCTTTAAAATGTCACCATCTTGATTTAGTTCACCATGCAACGCTTCTACATCCTTATGTGCATCAGCCCTTGCTTCACATGTATGCAGGTGTTGTATATTTTTTCTTAGTTCTTGAAGGGAAAATAAATCATGTGCTTTCACTGATTTGGCTGATAATGTACCACTAAGTGTGCAGGTATAGCACCGATTATCCAAACTGTCACTTGTGCCACTAATTTCAGTTTATATTGCAGGATTTGCCTTCGTTTATTTTGAGGAAGAACATGATGCTGAAGATGCTATACGTGGACTTGATAATATTCCTTTTGGCTATGATCGACGACGGCTGTCTGTGGAGTGGGCTAAGGTGTGTTATTGTTCTCTTACTCCTTTCTACATCTGCTGTTTTTGAGTGTTAATGGGAATGAAAGCAGTAATTTCTGAAAATGGTGATTTTTTTGTCAGGGTGAACGTGGTCAACATCGTGATGGTTCTAGGTCAGTGACAAATCAGAGGCCCACCAAAACCTTGTTTGTTATCAACTTTGATCCGATTCGTACTAGGGATCGTGATATAATGAGACACTTTGAGCCATATGGGAAGGTTCTTCATGTTCGCATTAGGCGGAACTTTGCGTTTGTGCAGTTTGCTACGCAAGAGGAAGCTACTAAAGCCCTTGAAGCTACACAAAGGAGGTATGATATACTCTTCTTTCTAAATTGTTTTTGTCAGAGGTATTGCTTATAAAGTATTATGTATGCCTTTACAGCAAGTTACTGGACAGAGTTGTGTCTGTTGAATATGCTTTAAGGGATGATGATGAGAGGGATGACAGTCATGGTAGCCCTAGAAGAGGAGGTGGCTATGGTAGACGTGGGGTCAGTCCATATGGGAGGTCCCGAAGTCCTGCATACCGCAGGCGACCAAGCCCTGATTATGGTAGGGCTCGTAGTCCTGTTTACGATCACTATGATGGTCCTGCTTATGACAGGCACCGGAGTCCTGATTATGGGAGGCATAGGAGTCCCGAGTATGACAGACTCCGCAGGTAGTGATTAATGCCATATATTTTATGTTTCTTGTTTAATTATCTATTTTGGAGATCTTCTAAGCCATTATTTATATCATGCTTGAAATTATTTAGTTATTTATCCACATGTAATATATCCGTTGTGTTTGTTGAATTTGCAGTCGATCGCCTGTTAGAAGGTCCCGAACATAGAAGGGCATTAGATGAATGGTGAAGGTTTTGTTCAGCACATGGGTCAATGTTCTCAAGTATTTTGTGGCTCTATGCCTAGCTGTGAACGTGTTTTGTAGAAGAATGAATTAGCATTTTCTTTTCTTTCCCATTATATGTTTAGGAAGACCATTGTAGCTTAGATCAAACTAGAATTAACAGTAATACTCGGTTTTAGTTGAGATTAATAGTTTGCTTGATTTGTAGATTAGACCAAAGTAGAATTAGTATATATGATGGCTTGGATAAAATGATGTTTGCTTTATTTTCTCCCCTTTATTTGGACAGTAATCGTTTCCTAATCATCTTAATTAATAATTATGTTGCAGTACAATAATATAACAATACGTCTTTATTGCACCAAATTCATACGAACTCAGAAAGCAAAAGATGAGGAGGAAGATGAAGCTCAGGATTTCCTTAGAACTTTCGGGGATAAGCATCAGCATGAGGATGCAAATTTCAATCTAGTTGAGCTTTACTCTATCAAGGCATTTGGTAATTCCATGACTTTGTCAAGCACTCGCACGTTAAAAACAAGCCAAGATGCGTCTTGGATCTTACGGCGTGGGTCACCCTTGGCCAGTGACCACTAGGCTAGACATTGGTTCCTTGCTCTAATGGGTACATGTTGAAGCGAATGGAAACGAAAATAGCAAACCATGTGATGCACAAGAGGCAAAAGGCGTATTATCAAAATAACATATTTTTTTAATCTTCACCGTCTACATAGAGACTTTAGGCTGTTTGTTTAGTTCTGAATGGAACCATTTAGCGTTGAATATTGAACCGTTCAGTATTCAGCGCGTTTGTTTTGCACCTATGAATAATTTAGTGTTGATTGATTCAACATCAAAGTGCATTTTGAATGATTTAGCATCAAAGTACATTCTGAATGATTCAGAGCCATTATCAAATAACATGTCACATTCAGAGCTAATTCATACAGAGTCTCTGAATCATTTAATATTTGAATCATTCAGCGCTTAATCATTCTGAAGTAAACAAACAATCCCTAAGTTTAATTCTAGCTCATTGGTTGATTGAACGGTTTAATTGATAAATTAAGAACCCAAAAAGATTATTTATGATCAAAAGTGAAGTCTAATGATTTATCAGTATAAAAATATCTATAGTTTTCTGGTCAACGAAGATGATTAAGTGTGCATTGTGTAACTCTCATAGGGTTATGTTTTTTTGTGAAGGAAAATAAAATGTTGAGTTATGATAGATCAATTATAATGTGTTTGAAGATTATAGAAAATACTAATTTTTATAAATTTTGACATGACATAACAAAATTCTTGTATAAGACATGCACAGAATAAATGTTCATAACCGTGTAGAGATAGTCCAAGATGTCGAGATAATCCAGAAGAAAACTGAAAAGGGAAAACATGTAGAAAAACAAACATTTCATAATTAATAGGAAAGACGAGCTGAATATTCAAGTATGTGTTGTGGTGTAGTTGGTTATCATGTTGATCTAACATACCGAAGGTCTCCGGTTTGAGTTCGGGCGGACACAAGCCGTGCTTTTTCTTTTGATTTTTTTTTTTTTTAAATTTGATATTGCAATAAAATAAATAAATACGTAAATCCGACTGCAGAGGAAAGGAGGAACATGGTAGACCAGAAAACCACATGATCGATCGTTAAACCTCGTCATCTTCATTTGTCTTTCAAAACAACACGGTTAGGTGTTGGTTATATTCCACTCCATCTTCATTAATTCCACTCTCACTTGGCAATTCTTCCACTCATTATCTCTAGAAACCACTGTAATTCGTTAATTTAACAACCCAATCATCCGAATGGAACCCAACCGACAGAGAATATTCTCCAGAACCAAACGGAAATCCGACTTAACTGCCATCCTTCGTAAATCATGGTACCATTTAAGATTGTCGGTGCGCCACCCAACTAGGGTTCCCACATGGGACGCCATTGTTTTAACGGCCGCTAGCCCCGAACAAGCCTGACTCTACGACTGGCAGCTCAAACGGGCCAAGCGAATGGGTCGGATTGCTCCCTCCACCATCACCCTCGCCGTGCCTGATCCCGACGGTCAACTGATCGGATCTGGGGCTGCCACGCTCAATGCCATTCACGCACTCGCTCAACATATGGAGCAAGTTATTAACGGTGGGAGTTGTGGAGATGGTGTTAGTTTGATGGGTAAAAAGCATGTTTTGTTGCTTCATGCTGGGGGGATTCTAAAAGGGTTCCATGGGCGAATCCGATGGGTAAAGTCTTTTTGCCGCTCCCTTGCTTGGCTGCTGATAACCCTGACGGTCCCGTTCCGTTGCTGTTCGATCATATTCTTGCAATTGCTTCTTGTGCCCGGCGAGCTTTCAAAAACGAAGGTGAAAATTCTGGGAAATCCTTGGTTTTCAGTTTTGTTTTGTTTTATAGTTAGTAAAAGGGAAAATAAAAAGCAAACATGTCGATAGTTAAAAGAATCTTTTGGTAGTAATCTGTGTTTGTATACACTTTTTTGTCTTGTTTAGGTGGAATATTTACTATGACTGGAGATGTGCTCCCATGTTTTGATGCCTCCACTTTGATTCTTCCACCTGTTGCGTCCACCATTATTACTGTGCCTATAACTCTTGATATAGCTTCTAACCATGGTGTCATTGTGGCATCTAAAACTGAGATTCTCGAGGAAAGTTACACGGTCAGTTTAGTTGACAACCTCCTTCAGAAACCTAGTGTAGATGAGCTTGTTAAGAATCAGGCAATCTTGGATGACGGTAGAGCATTGCTCGACACTGGAATTATAGCTGGTAGAGGTAATGCGTGGGTGGAGCTTGTCAAGCTTGCTTGTTCTTGCCAACCGTTGATTTCCAAGCTTATGAAAAGCAGAAAAGAGGCAAGCTACTAGTTCTTGTATTTGCATCTAATTTTGTTGTCAATCCAGGCTGTATTGAACTATAAGATTCTGTTGGTAATTGAAAAGAAAACATTGATTGAATTCCATATGTGGGTTTAGAATATCTTACATTTGAAGCTTTGGGTGAACCTCTATGCAGAGGAGTTTGTATGAAGATCTTGTGGCAGCTTGGGTACCTAGAAAGCATGACTGGTTAAGACATCGCCCCTTGGGAGAAGCATTGGTTGGCAAATTGGGAAAACAAAGGATGTTCAGCTATTGTGCATGTATGTTAGATGATAAACAGTCTTCAAAGCATCGAAATCTTCCTACATTTCTCAATTTCTCATCTTGTTAATATTTATGTGATTTAGTTTATTCATGATACCCCTTTTTCATTTTTCAATTACAGATGATTTGTTGTTTTTACATTTTGGAACTTCAAGCGAAGTTTTGGATCACCTTAGTGAATCGGATTCAACACTTGTAGATCGAAGACACTTATGTTCTATTCCGGCAACCACTGTGTCAGACATTGCCGCATCTGCTGTTGGTGTTTCTTGCAAAAGTGACAATGGTGTCTCGATCGGTGAAGATTCTCTAATATACGACTCAAGCATTTCCGGTGGAATCCAGATTGGTTCCCAGACTATAGTTGTCGGTATTCATGTTCCAAAGGACAGTGATAATAAGGTTGATAGTTCAGTGAAGTTCATGCTTCCTGACCGCCATTGTCTTTGGGAGGTTCCTTTGGTAGGACGTACTGAAACAGTTATTGTATTTTGCGGCATCCATGATAACCCGAAAAATCCTCTTATCAAGGATGGGACATTTTGTGGGAAACCTTGGGAGAAATGCATGATTTAGGAATCGAGGAAAACGATCTATGGAGCGTGAGTGACAGCCAGGATAAGTGCTTGTGGAATGCAAAATTATTTCCCATTCTTTCTTACTTGGAGATGCTTAGCATGGCAATGTGGTTGATGGGCTTGAGTGATGGAAGAAACCAATCCTTTCTTCCCTTCTGGAGAAAATCACCCCGAGTCAGTTTCGACGAGTTGCATAGATCCATTGACTTCTCAAAAATGTGCTCTGGATCCAGTAATCATCGAGCTGATCTTTCAGCTGGAATTGCTAAGGCTTGCATTAACTACGGCATGCTAGGGCGCAATTTATCTCAGTTGTGTGAAGAAATTCTACAAAATGAGATTTCCGGAGTCGAAATAAGCTAGGACTTCCTGGCCCTCTCTCCCAAATTTATTGACAAGAATTCTAAGATTCTTCCGAAAAGTCGGGTATATCAGGTACAAGTTGATCTTCTTCGAGCATGTGGAGAGGAAACAAAAGCTTGTCAGTCGGAGCACAAAGTTTGGGCTGCAGTTGCTGATGAAACTGCTTCAGCAGTCAGATACGGTTTTGGAGGTAAAATATCAACTGATTTTGCCTCAAGTATTATTTGGGAAGTGTTTTTAAATAACATAATCTGTTTAATTACGTCCCTGGAGGATCGCTCAAATCTTTGTATTTTGGCTTTTTGTATGTATTGTCCTCTGTATTTATCAATTGCCAGCTTATTTCCCTGTCATCCTTCACCTTGGTTTAGAACAATAGTTGGAGTCCTCTGGGAGCAAGTCTACTAAGGCCTCCGGAAACAATAACCATGTTGGCTCCTTGGGTCATCCTTTTTGTCCAAAAACAATAAAATTTGAGTTACCGGTTTGCGTAGATTTTGTTGGTGGCTGGAGCGATACACCTCCATGGAGCTTAGAGCATGCTGGCTGTGTTCTTATCGTAGAAACAACAAATTCGAGCGGAGTCTTGATTACCGATGATTCTGGAAATGAGTTACATATTAAAGAGCTTACTTCAATCACTCCTCCCTTTGATGGAAATGATCCTTTTAGGCTTGTGAAATCTGCTCTGCTGGTGACTGGAATTATTCGTGAAGACATTCTAGTATCAAATGGCTTGAAAATAAGGACATGGGCTAACGTACCTCGGGGCAGTGGCTTGGGAACTTCTAGCATCTTACCAGCCGCTGTTGTTAAAGGACTTCTCCAGATCATCGGCGGTGATGATAGCAACGAAAATGTTGCCACACTCGTTTTAGTACTAGAGCAGCTCATGGGAACAGGTGGTGGCTGGCAGGATCAGATAGGGGGTTTATATCCCGGGATCAAATTCACTAAAAGATACCCTGGAATACCATTGCGACTCCAAGTCTTCCCTCTTGTGGCATCTCCTCAATTGATTTCAGAATTGCAGCAGCGGTTGCTTGTGGTGTTTACCGGTCAAGTAAGTAATTAATCCTTCCTCACAGTTTTGTTTCCCTCGTAAATGTTTTCGTTGTCAACCTGAAGATCATTTTATTTTATTTTATTATTATCGTGAAGGTTCGACCAGCACATCAAGTCCTACAAAAGGTAGTCCTTCGGTATCTTCAACGGGACAACCTTCTTATATCCAGTATCAAGCGGCTCACTGAATTAGCTAAGATCGGGAGGGAAGCTTTGATGAACCGACGTCGATAAACTAGGAGAGATCATGTCAGAAGCTTGGAGGTTGCATCAAGAACTCGATCCTTACTGCAGCAATGAATACGTTGATAAACTATTTACATTTGCCGACCCTTACAGCTCCGGCTACAAGCTTGTGGGAGCAGGTGGGGGGGGGGGATTTTCATTATTAATTGCCAAAACTGCCACATGCGCCAACGAATTAAGAAGCTTGTTGGGGAAAACCCCAGAATTTGATTGTCATGTACAATTGGAGCGTCTGCGAATCGTAGACAATAGAGTTTAGTATAAAAGGAAACTGTCGTTTTTTTTACCACGACCCGTAGTTATATTTTTATTAATTAAGGTCGAGGATAGTTCATTGTTGTATTGTATTATAAAATACTATTCTTTTACAACATTTGTGAAATAATGACCGATGTTAATGAGGCCCACTTGAATTGAATGTTTGGCGTCTCTTTGCTCTCTAGATTTTGAAGGATTCTTGGTTCCTTCGTCTCCGATAGCTGGTGGTCGTGTTCTTCGGCATTGTTTCTACTCTGACAAGGGATGGGCCGGTAAGCGGTTTTTGGCTCCGCGGTGGCATGACCTCATCTGGAGGTGACCATACCTTGCGATGGTGCTGCAGCTGAAGTATTGGAATCTTTGATTGGGTTTTGGATAAGGCTATAATCTTTTGCTTTGAGATGAAGTAACATTTACTAATTGCTTCCGCTCTTGAAAGAAGTGCAATTATTATAAGGTTTAATATAAAAAAAATTGTTCAAATTATATATTTTTTTTTCAAGTGATGCTTCAATTTTCTTTTTGGTCAATCTACGTATTTATCGTTACAAACGTTATCAGTTTAGATGTTTCGGTCGTAACGACCGTTAAAAATATCCGTTAAATGCCATGTGTTACATTTATGTAATTTTAAAATTTTTAAATAAAAAACTTAAAAATATTATTATATTTATATTTAAAAAAAAACTTATTTTTTTCTAAAATTATAAAAGAAAAACCTCACATTCCTAAAAATTCCAAATCCCTAACCTTAACCTTACCTTCTTTGTCGGTCATGGTCGTTGACGCCAATATAACTCTTGGCATCTTCCTTGTCGACAGTCATTCCTCTTGTTGTCGTACGTGTCGTCGGATCGTCTAGGTGTCATTATTTTGGGGGTTTGGGTTTGTCGTTTGGGATTCAATTTTATCGTTTCCTTTGTTGGAGACGTCATATTTATGGCTTATGGGTTGTCGGTTTGAATTGTCGTCAGTTGGAGATTCGGTCAACAACAACGAGTTAAACTTCTCTAGTCGATGTGAACATAGGGATTGAAATTAAAGTTTTCAAAGTTTTGAGTCTTTTTAAGATTTGAGAAACTTTTAGGCTTTTTTATAAAACAATATATAATTTTAAGTTTTGAATTTAAATAAAAATTTCAAAATTATATAAATGTGACACGTGTCACTTAAAAGGAATATTTAACAATCGTTACGACCGAGACACTTAGGGATTATTTGTTTTCCTGTAATTGATTTTTCAGAAATTGATTTCCTCATTTTTACTTCAAATCATAAATACTCAAAAATAATATTATTTTATATATTTAATATTAATATACTATTTTAATATTATGTTAATAAAAATATTAATTATTAAAATTTATTATTAATAATTATAATATTATAATATTATATTTTTTAGTATTATAATAATATATTAAATTATACTATAATAATAAATGATATTATATTTTATTTTATTTTAATTATATATGATAAATTATTTCAATATTCTTAATTTAATAAGTAATTAATATAATTGATAATATAATATTATTATTTTAATAATTAATTAATATTTTTTTATAATTTTTATTTTAATATAACATAATATTCTTAATATTTTTATTTATAAACTTTTTGAAGTAATATTTTAATAATATTGTTGACAAATAATATTAAAAAATTATTTGAATATTTTTAAAATCATAATATTAGTTATTTTCTAATAAATAATATAATTTATTATACTTGATATTTATAATAAATAAATTTTAAAAAAAATACAAACCATAGAAAATTTGTTCACATACATCATCCGAACACCGTAAAATGATTTCAAAATTTATTTTTTTAAAAATATAATTCATTTTACGAAATTTATTTTTTCTTAAGCAAATGGACCCTTAATATAATAATATTGATAACGTTACGTACTTCAATTGACATAACAAAAAATAAAACACTAATTTAAGGATAATAATATAATTTAAATTCTTATTTTTATATAAAGCGCACTCAAAATAAATACAGTCTCAACTGAATCACATACGAAATGGATAAAAATGTTTAACTACATATTTAGTGATTAAACTTTTATCGCATTTCTAATTTTAATCATCTAACTTTAAAATAATTGATTTTATTATTCAATTTTCACACACAAAAAATCATCCAGTTAGTTGTGTAATGGTAACTATAAATTGTTGCGTTTATTTAGTTTCATTTATTAAATTGATCTAATATTTCATCTATATTTTTCTATGACTGATATTTTTTTTATTATCGTTTGATTATCGTCTATCATCGTTTATGATGTAATTGGTAGTAAAATATTTATCATTCTTGTCTCTTTTTTCTCAACTTGGTTGGTCACAAAATCTCTTCAAAATCGATAAAACTCGAACAAAAATTTTAATATTGTCTTTATCTAATTTATAGTCTCAATACCGTAAAAATGATATATATTATTTTTCTATTCATTCTTAACCTCTTTGTTGTTCGAATTTGAAATAAAACACTTTCACATCGATGAATCAAAAGAATTCTAAAATTTTGAATATTAAGAAAAATTCAATAATTTTTTTGGTATAAGTTTATCAAAAAAAAATCTAAACTACATTAGAACTTAACGCTCGAATAACAGAAAAATGAACTCAACAATTAAGTGGTGAAATCAATAATTTTAAAGTTGAGTAGTCAAAATAGAAATAAAGATAAAAGTAAGTTGAAAAAATGTAGTTTATCCAATATATATTACAGCAAGTTTACTACTTAAAGCAAGTTTCCAAAAATAAAGAAAAGCAAAAGTTAAGTGAAACGGTGCCGTACAAGTTGTGCTAAAGCAAAAGTTTGTTCACGATAGAAATGAGTTGATTTTATTGGTAAATGGGTGTTGTAATAATTATCCGCTTTGGATAATTTTAATCAAATAAATTTGAGAACTTTCCATTAATTTCCGATCATTCTATTCTTCTTCTCTTCACTCCAGCACGCGAAGTCTTCGAAACCTTATATAATTCCATCAAATCAAAGAATTGGGCCGTCTGGGGATTTGGTGGGTCATTGAAAATAAATGGCGAATCTTTATGTGGAAGCGGTGCCACCGGCGGATCTCAATCGGAACACCGACTGGTTTATGTATCCCGGTGTATGGACTACCTATATTCTATTCCTCTTCTTCTCCTGGCTCCTTGTTCTCTCCATCTTCGGTTGCTCTCCTGGCATGGCTTGGACCATCGTTAATCTCGCCCATTTCCTGGTACGTTTCATTCTTTTCTCTCTTTCAATTATCTCATAGTATTGAATGTTCAATTGGGTTTCTTGTTATTCCTGCAAATTACCCTTTTCCATTTTTTGAATTCTAGGCTTGTTCAAAGTTTTTTTGTTTGGAGTTCAATTGAGTTTATTGATGGGGGGAACAAGGAAATCAGGGGATTTCTAGTGTAAATCAATGGAGGTTTTTCAACTGGCAGATCTTATGCTTCTTTCTAATGTAAAGATTGTCCATTTCAGGTCACGTACCACTTCTTTCACTGGAAGAAGGGAACCCCATTTGCTGATGATCAAGGAATTTACAATAGCTTGACTTGGTGGGAGCAGATAGACAACGGAAAGCAGCTAACACGCAACAGAAAGTTTTTAACTGTTGTACCAGTTGTGCTGTAAGTCTGCTATATTTATATTTTACTGCTCTTCTGTATCTTGCTGATGATCTTTCCTATTATCTTGAGCAGTATCTCTGTATTTATGTCTGTATGCGAATGTTCTTCCTCGAGCACTGGATGTTTGATGATTCGGCCTTTTATTGTGTTTCCATAATTGGGGTAACGAACTATATTGATGACTAGGAAAACAATTAGTAAACTAACATGGATACCCGCCAATCATAGACGATACGTTCCTGTCGGGAGAGAGTATCTCAACCGGGTTCTATGCATGGCTTTTCTTCTGCAATATTTGCAATAAAGTATCCTCTCAATCATCAAATGCCTGTTCATGTTGTCTTGCTTTTAACAAAGAGCAAGTATGTGCATGTGCAAACAGTTAGCTATGTACTCTTTTGCATTTTAGTAACGGTTATCGATCGGATTATGATACAGCATATTGTGTATTTAGTTTTAACATTCCTCAATTCACCACCTACATGGTTTTATGTTAATAAAAGATCAATTTGATGCATTGATCTCAATAGTAACTGTTCGTATATTCATTTGGAGAAATATTCAACTCTGTGCAGATTTTCATAGTCTTCTTAGAGAAGTCCGATTAACAACCAGAGAATATTTTGATAGATAATAGAAACAACTGCTCATCCTGAATCTCTCCCTGCTTTCGTAAACCTCCATGACATGAGTTTATGAATAATTCGTGATGTTTTCATTCCCTGAGTTGGGCATTTAATCACCGTGTTCTTTGTTTCCTTTTTCGTTTCTATGACAGATACCTGATCGCCTCCCATACAACAGACTACCAACATCCTATGCTCTTCCTGAATACACTAGCAGTGATCGTGCTCGTCATTGCTAAGTTCCCCAACATGCACAAGGTCAGGATCTTTGGAATCAATGCAGATATGTGAGTCAGCCCCCCCCCCCCCCCCGTTTAGAATACTCGGTCTTACCTGATATAAAGTCATACAGCTCCGTCGCCTCAGTTAAAAGAGAGAGACATACATCTTTGTGTAGGACATTTTTAGGATTTGATCTTCTTTTTCTTTTTCTGGTGAATTTGGTGACTGCACCCACAAGTTTTTCCTAAGATCATGAAGGAGTATTAACGAGTGTACGTGTACAGTAGAGAATGTAATGTATGCTCAATATCACTAAGCTCTTGTCTGCATATATCACATATCTAAATCAAAAAAACTATGCTGTCACCAGATTGTACGGAATTCTACAACTATCAAATCTCTCCATCTATCCCTTAATCCTTGGGATCAGCACACTATGGTGCTTTAAGAGCTTGTATTAAATTACCTATATCAATGTATAAAATTGATATTTGTTTGGGCATCCAACTTTCATCATGTTTTTGTTTTGGATACACAACTTTTAAAATTTTCAATTGTATCATTGAACTTTTGAAATTGGTTCTTTTGAATTTGTTTTGACCATCATTTCAAAATATATGAAGGGGGTGATTTTATTGTAATCATAGTAATTGTTAGGATTAGATCAAATATTTTTTTTACTTCAAAACCGATTTCATCATAATCTCGGCTCTCTTTTATAAAACTCGATCAGTCTTAAATCCATTTTTTTCAAATAAATTTAATATTTATAAAATTCTTCAGTTCAAATAATTTAATCTTTATCTTAATAAGATGACGTAATTTACAAACAAAGATTTGGGTTATGATGAAGACAAGAACACAAATTCAGTTCAATTAAAGAAAGGAACGAGGGGATTGACTTGTGAGGATGGACTGTTTGTGTACCAAATTAAGTGTGGGGGTACTTATAATGTTTGAGCTATAAGATCCGCCATCGAAATGGATTTTATAGTATTAGTTGAGGTTTATAGTTGGAGCAGGTAAACCCTTTTTTTTTTTTAAAGAATCAAAAGTATCCATCAAATTCCATAGGCGGCCAGCCATCACTATTCTTTTCAATAGTTAACCTAAAATATACTCTCCACGTTTTATTTAAGTTTATCATTCTTTTCAATTGTGTTCTTAAAGTTTTTCTTTAAGGGTGTAATTGAAAAAGAAACAAATATTGAGGTTTTATTGTTATTTTACATTTTTCACTTTTGAAATGTAGTTTTATATTAAACGATAAATTCATTTTATAATATTATTTATTTACAAAAATATTGTTGTTTAAATAGGAAAATATAATTAAAATAAAAAAATTAACTAAAATAAATATAAGATTGTTACTGATTGTAAATAAAAAATATGAATTCTATTCTAATATTTTTTTTAAATTTTATTTATATTGATAATAATTTTTTTAAAATATTATTATATTATTAAACTTAAAATTAACTAACGTATAATATACTAAGTATCAATTTAAAATTAATAAATATCAAACTTTATTGTACTTATAATATATAAAATTTTATTTAATGGATGATCATAAAAAGGTTATAAAAGATTTATATATATATATATATATATATATATATATATATATAATCCACTAATTATAATTATTTTATTTAAATAAAAAATAAATAAAAATATTTACTTATTTTTTTCAACCATATCCTTCAACGATATCATTCCTAAACCTGCGTAACTAAAAATTCTGGATTTGTTATAGAAGAATCCATGGAAACAACTCACGTTTTTCTCTGACAAATTTTCACTAATTTTCTTCTGCCCACAGGCAAAGTATTCAAAGATAGAAACTCTGACGAAAACCGAAACCCCAAACTTGATCCGATCTGCTTGTTACACTGTTCATGGGAGAAAGGGGAGATTCAAAAGCAAATGAAGAAACCCCATCGTTATATATGCATCCTATGATGATGATCTGTTAGTTCTAAACAACTTTTAACTACTAGTAATCAAATCAACCATGTGAATAAAAGAATAAAGGAAGAAGCAGTTCCTTGATCCTTCTTCGTCGTCGCCGTTTCTTTTACCATGATCCTCCACCTAACACTCCATTATTATTCCAATATCCAGCTGAATTGTTTTGTTCCTTGTTTCGATCATCAACTCCAGTAGGACTCGAAATCGGTTTTATTTCTCCAAAAGGGAAGAAAACCCTTCCAACATTATTCTCTTGACCTCCATGGACCACACCAGCCCTATTTTCAGCTCCATCGATCGGAAAACTGAGTGTCGGTTTATAGTCTTGCATGGAAAACCCAGTCGAGTAAAGCGCAGTCGAGTCTTGGGTCGGTGCCGGAACGAAAGAATTCAACCCCTTTGATGACACCATCCCAGCCCTAAGGAGATCCATGGCCGAAGGCCAGAAGTAGTTTTGCTGGTCGTTATAATGAGACAAACCCAAACCATGATGAGTCTCTTGGTTAGCAGAGAAAACCAGGTTAAGGTCCTGGCCTTTGTGGACTGGTGGTGCCTTAGGGTTTTGAGACGACAAGAAGTGAGGGAAGCTCGTCGAGCTTAGATCCGAGACTTTGGCTGAAGCTGAAGACGGTGTCGATATCATCGTGGATCTTTTGTTCTTCCTCGAACCGCCGCCGACCGGCACATTCCTTAAAGATCCTCCCTCGGTCCAGTACCTCCGGCAAGTCTTGCAGAAGTATCTTGGCTGAGTGAGGCTATAATTGTTGTAGTAACAAAACTTGGTGTTTGTTGAGTTGCATCTCGGGCAATTCAACTGCTCCGGTGGCCTTGTTTTTCTCTCTAGAACTGGCCCTCCCATTGTGCTTTCCCTTGGCTTCACCACGCCAAAACCCTGAAAACCCTAAAAAAGAGGAATCATTTCACTAGCAACACCACGTAAGAATATCAGCAAATAATAATAACAAATCCAGCTACCTGTGACCATTTATCAGCATCCATTGATTTTGAGAAGATAAAAAGAAAAGAAACTCTGATGACTTCACAGACAGAGAGAGAGAGAGAGAGAATTAAAACCTCCTATGTTTGTGTGCAACTGCAAGTGATGATCCCTTTTAGAGCAAGAAAGAATGATTTCAGACTGTTTGTATGGTAGCTTTATGTGTTGGCTTTCACTTTATGAATGATGGGAAAAAGAAAAGAGAGGGTGGGTTTGTTTTGACTACTCATATAAATAATATGGACCTTAGTCTTATTCTATAATGAGGAATTTCAGGCTGCTTTGGCTTTATATTTTAAAAGCACAATTGCATTTTTTATTTGAATGCGGGTGGAATTATGACTCGGCTTCAGGGATTTCTCCCTTTTTCACCTCATCAATGTGAAAACACATCTCATCGGATCAATATAATAAAAACGAATCACGTCACGTTCAATTAAAATCAATCATCATCAATTTAAACAAGTTATTATTTTGAGAGACAGAATATAATATAATAAAACAATAGTTAAAATTGATTCAATATGAAAATACAAGAACGGAGCACTAAGATAAGATATTGACCATAGTTACATCTGTGGTGTTAACTTGCCAAAAAGATCATCTTCACTGGTTCTACTTTTTTCATGTGATCTTGAAACTAGTTACTTTTGTTTGCTTGCTGTTAAAGTTATCTTTGATTCACCCATTTTTCAGCCAACCTTTCTTCTTCTTCATGGACTGCGATATGGATTCATCAAGCAACAAATTTCAAATGTGGAGCTATCTATGCATTTTGTGATCACTTCTGTTGTATTATTCAAGAGAATGTTATTATTGAAATATATATTAATTTATTTAAAGAAATTGTGAGTTTTGTAAGTTTATAATAAGTGTTAAGTAATTAATGATAATTATTTTCAAAAGTGAGAATAACTAAGTTAGTAATTTATGCTCACAATTATATGATATAAAGAATAGAGGTGCAAACGATAATTATTAGGTAAAACTAAATAAATTTTAAATGTTGATAATAAATTTGTATCCCTTCAACATAGTTTCGATTACTTCCTTAATTTTTCATAGCATGGAAAAAAATCATTGTAATGTTATCTATTAATGATTTAGTGATAAAATTAAAAATTAAATTTAACGGTAAATTTGATATAAAATTTAAAATTCCAGTTTATTCAATATTTTAGTTTAATTTTCAAAACATTAATATTTTATTAGTCATTGTTAGAGTTTGACTTTAATTCAAAGTGACACAAATTAATTAATATATAAATATTGGGAAAATAGTAAACCCAGTTTCAATAAAAGTAGAAAACTTTATTAAAGTCGATTTCTACTTTATTTAATTTTTCTTTGTAATCAAGTATTTATCCATATAAATAGATACTAAAGATTATATTAAATTCTTTTATTTAACCAAAATCCTCTTGTATTTTCTTCCTTCATATTAGTAAAATTCTTCTCTTCTGCCCGTGGTTTTTTCTTTTTTGGGTTTTTCACGTAAATCATTATGTTCTTTGTTTTTCCTTTTCGATTGTGTTTATTTGTTTACCGATAATCATCATTATGATATTATAACAAATTGATATCAGAGCTTCGGGTTCAAAATTATAGCAATAATGAAGTATTATATTCTACTGTTGGATTGAAACACCAGGTTCTCGCTATGGCAGGTGAAGATTCGGGTTGTTCTTGCACAGTTAAATCTCGACGATGCAATAGATTGATTTGATGTGAAGTTGGTAACACAATAGACGAATGAGGCAAAGAGTAAGGATCGTAAAGCTCTTTCTCAAGTTCGTTTATACTTATCAAATCAAAGTTTACAAGATGTTTTGAAAGAAAAAACAATTGCATCTTTGTGGGCGAAATTGGAGCAACTTTGCATGCAGAAATCATTGACCAGCAAGTTGCACCTAAAACAACGTCTTTATTCGCTCAAGTTGGCGGAATGTTCGTCTCTTGAAGAGCACCTAGACGTATTCAAGGAAATTGTCTTTGATCTAGAAACTTTAGAAGTGAAGTATGATCAAGAAGACTTAGGACTGATCCTCCTATGTTCGCTGCCTCCTTCTTACTCGTCTTTCAGAGATACAATCTTGTACAGTCACGAAACACTCACTCTTGAAGAAGTTTACAATGGCCTGCACTCGTTTGACAAGATAAAAATATCTTGTATCTGGTTCTGAGCCCCAAGCAGATGATCTCGTGATGCATGAATCGACTAGCTTAGACAGTGGGAGAAAAGACGAGTGTTCTTATAATAATATTGGAAGGGTAGATCAAAAATCTTCCAACCAAGATAAAACTTATCACTATTGTAAAAAGAAAGGTTATATTAAATCTAAGTGTTACAAACTGCAAAATAAAATCAAAATAGAAGTTGAAGAACAAAACTCTGGGAAATCTGGTGAGGTCGGTATAGTAGAGGAGTATGATGACGGAGAACTCCTAGTTGTGGTTGACTACAACTTTATAAAAAGTGATGAGTGGATACTTGACTCTAGTAGTAGTTTTTATATGAGTCCTAATCGTTACTGGTTTGTGACGTATGAAGTTGTTTCTATAGGTGATGTATTTTTGGGAAATAATGTCCCTTGTAAAGTCGCAGGTATTGGCACTATCAAGATTAAGATGTTCGATGGGATTGTTCGAGCACAATGTGAGACATGTTCCAGATTTGAGTAGAAATCTAATTTCGTTACATACTCTAGATTCAAAAGGGTACAAATTCTCCAGTGAAGGTGGAGCTATGGAAATTTGCAAGGACTCCTTTGTTGTGTTGAAAGGGCAGAGAAAGACTACCAAGTTTTATGTTCTACAGGGTTCAACAGTTTTGGATAATGCAATTGGTGTTTCATCCACCGTCTCAAATAACATTGTTGAACAAAATAATCGTGATCAGAACAATTATGTGAAGCATAAAATAGTTCAATCTCGTGAACATAGTGAATTTGAAGATAAAACTATCATTGATGATCGGGATCGTGTAGAGCATGATATTGCTCGTGGTGAAACATTTGAAAGCAAAGTTGACACTTATGATAATCATGTCAATGTGAAGACTAAATCCAAGCCTAGAAAATGTTTGGATTCGGTCGATGTCCATTAATGAAGATTACCCCTTTGAGGGGTGTTGTGGAAGAGGTGGATAACTTGTTCATTGAAGTGAAGAATTGTTTTTTTTTGTTTGGGTGTCACACCAAATTTGGGTGTTTTGTCTCAAAAACTTTGCACTTTCATAATTGTTAGAGTTTGACTCGAATTCAAAGTGGCACAAATTAATTAATATATAAATATTGGGAAAGTAGGAAACCTAGTTTGATTAAAAGTAGAAAACTTTATTAAAGTAGATTTCTACTTTATTTAGTTTTTCTTTGTAATCAAGTGTCTATCCCTATAAATATATACTAAGGGTCAGGGTTAGATATTAAATTATTTTCTTTGACCAAAATCCTCTTGTATTTTCTTCCTTCATATTAGTAAAATTATTCTCCTCTGCACGTGGTTTTTTCCCTTTTGAAGTTTCCACGTAAATTCTAGTGTTCTTTATTTTTCCTTTTCGATTGTGTTTATTTGTTTGCTGATAATCATCGATCTGATATTATAACAGTATATCATTTTATGGGTTTACTTATCAACTTAGGCGTGAAAAGTATTGATTTGAAATTAACATTGAATATTTTTAAATCGTATGAGTTAAATTATCAATGAATGTAACTATAGCTGCTCCTAAAATAGTAAAACTATGTTTTAATTCTTAAAATTTCACCTCCAAAAACCAAATATTTGTCTTTGAAAATTCATTCTTTAGCTAAAACTTTAATATTTTTTAGTGTTTTCTAAAAAAATGATGAATAGAGGGGAAAGAAGTGTTCTTCTTTATAAAAACAAGAAGCCTTTGTGTGTCTCCTCGAAAAGTTAAAAATTGGGGATGTCTAAGGAAAGACAATCTAAGATAAGGCTAAGAAAATGTGCTACAGGAAATATTAATATTTTTTTAATATTTCTGGTAGAGATCTACCTAAAATGCTATTTTTTCTACCAAAAATATTAATATCAAATGTTACCTAAAATATTATTTTTATACTATAAATGTTAATATCGAAAATATTCATTTTAGGTAATGAAATTAACATTTCCAATAAAAATTAACATTTTAAGTAGCGTTCTACCGAAAATGTTAAAAAAATATTAATATTTCTATTATCACATTTTCTTATCGTTATATTAGAATCACGTACAGTATAACTAAAATTTGAACATACGGTCCACAATCAAACCATGGGTAAAAGCAACGTTTCTTGTTTCGAGGAATTTCAAAGCAACTTTGGTTGGTAAAGCATAATTGATTTCTTTTGTTCATGAAAAAAGTTTGATAAATCTCTATGAAACTATCATTTGTTATAATTTCCATTTATTAAATAGATTCAATAGTCAAAAGAAATGTTATTTTTTTTAAAAAGTCTTAGATTCAAGTAAATGCGTTTATAAAATATATGTATTATTAATAGTTAAAAAAATCTTAAATTAATATTATCTTATAATTATATCATACTATTGAAAAAATACATTTTATATTTTATAATTTCATCGCATATTCTTTGAATGTATAGTGAGGAGTTGGGCCTCGACGCAATGATGCAGACCCCATACAATACAATAAAAGTGAGAAAAAGAAGACGCATCCATTATGATTGTAATTCATAGCACCTGCTGTTTCCCTCTAAGATTCAACGAGGCAGTCCCATTGTTTATTCAGCAATATTTATGCTTCTCTATCTCCATCATAGTTATTAGGGTTTGAGAGCTTTGCACAACCGTTACTTTATACATTACCTAAACAATAATTTCTAAAGATCCCAAACATATCATTACAATAAACCCTAATTCCAATAGAACCAACAAATTTCCAATTGAAAAATGTGAATTTTTAATTATATATCATCGTAACATTATTGAAGATAATTACATACAGACATATGAAGCACTTAAAAAGACCATAAATTGAATCCGCAACAATTCAAAATATGATAATTCAATTTATTTTGAATTCACCGACAATATATATATATATATGTTTATTTTATTATGTTATCGACAAACATAGAATAATAATCTGATCACCCCATCAAAATAGCATAACGAAAATCCTATAACGTTTATCCAAATATAATAATTCAATTAGTTCTTAATAATTCGATATAACGGTCATCTAATGTTACTTGTTCAAATCTAAA